CAACCACCGGTCGGGTAATCGAGGGAACTTGGAATTCCGAGCACCTCGTTATGTTTAGGCATTAAGCCTATTTTTTGTAACCTTTGGACGAAGTGGGGGTTTGACCTGCGTGTAGGTCCCGATCGTCGTTTGTAATTAAATTTCAATGATTGTAAATATTTGTTTAACCGCCTGCGAGCGGGAAGGTTTTAATGTATATACGGTCGGTGATTGCTCGACCGCTTGCATGCGGCGGCCCAGTATCGATCGGGCGAATTTATCGACTGGTCAAATGCGCTCCACATCGGCGGACATGCGAGTCACGCCACTGATCGGGAAGCCAGGAGCACACAGCATAATTCCCCGATCTGATCACCTCTTGTCCACTATTGCACTCACTCGTGCCTTGAGAGCACAATAGTGCGGGGGCTGGGATAAGGGAGTGTTCGTAGGCCCATCGCTCGGGAAAACTCGGCTATCGGGGGCTTACCTATTTTCCGGGAAAACTCGGCTATCGGGGGCTTACCTATTTTCAAAATTTCGTCAAGGCCTGAAGATCGGGTAAACCTGATCGGGTTGGCCAATATGACGTTGACTTAAGTCCGTTGTTTGGAGATATCCCGAACGTAGAGGCTTGGGTAATCTCAAGATTTCTGACAAGGCCTGGAGATCGGGTAAACCCGATCAGGTTGGCCAGTTGGACGTCGAAATCTCGAGCGTCGAGCGGGTCGAGTAATGCAGGACCGGGCCAAAAGGCCATGAGGTCGAGCATTAAGGGTCGGCCTATGCATGAGCAAAAATAAAGATACAGAAAGAGGGACGAATTTCATTGATTTAAAGGAGTGCCCGGTACAAATTCGGGACCGGGCTCCCGATTGGTGTCACTTCAGAAGAAGCAGAATTAAAAACTACTCTACTTCTTCGCCTCAGCATCGCCCTTCCTCGGCGCTTCCTCCCCGCTCGGGCCGGCTTCAGCCCCACTCGCCGCGGCCCGGTCCTTTGGATCAAAAGGTGCTGGCCCCGGGTCGGCTACTTCGTCGGGGAGGGTGGTCAAGACCAACTGCAGATCATCCCCTTCAAGAGCTTGCTCCATGATCTTCTTGGTCTGATCACGCATTTTCCGCTGACCGGTTTTATAAGCCCACCGGCCAAACGTCCATATCAGCTTCTCCCCGACCTCAGTGCCCCGAACGGACTGAAGAAAGCGAGCGCCCGATTTGGTATCTTGAAATAGGTGCTGGGCGAGCTTATCCGGGTCGTTCTGACGAGCCTTGAGCTCGGCTGCCTCCCCGATCGCCTGCTGGGCGACTTGCTCGGAGAGGTCCCGTTCAGCCTTGACCTTCTTCAGCTGAGCCTCCAGCTCTCGGATCTCCTGTAGTCGCCGGTTGGCGACTTTCTTCAAGGCCTCAGCTTCGTTGGCCTGAAGGGCCCGCTGTTGAAGGAACTGGGCCGCTCGGGAGATCTGCAGTACACAACACGATCAAATGTTAGCCGGGTGGAGTTACTTAGAAGAAAATTGAGGAGATGGAAGGGTGCTTACGTCAGCCAAGTCATGGCCGATTTTCTCGGCCACCTGGCTCGGGGTCAGTTTGGAGAGGTCCTCCTTGGCCGACCCAGCATTCCCGATCCGAGCGAGGATCGAGGATCCACCTTTGTTGCCCCCGCCCGAGGGTGTCGGGCTGTGCTGTTCCCGGCGCCGTTTCAAGGCCCCGGTCTCTGCGGCGGTCTTCTCCGCCACCTTCTCTTTCCCTTTCCCGACCGCCACTCGGGCGACCAGGACCTCCGAGGCGTCCACCACGAAGCCTTCGGTCGTAGTGACGGTCGACGCCCCGATGGGTCGGGCAACCGGGATCTCTTCCTCCCCGGCCGGCTTAGCTTGGCCCTTCCTCTTGCCAAGAGAGATCTTGGCCACTGGGCGCAGAGGGACGTCCTCGTCTCCGAAACCGGCCATTTCTGCAAAACAAAACAAAGTAGGTTAGGTCGAGCTAAAGGCCCAGTCGGGCTTTCGAGTTCGGAGAAAATGGCTAATGTCACACCTTTGCCCTTTCGTTTGCCCCGAGCGGGCATCTTTGCGATCGTAACGCCCCGGGGCTCGGGCTTGTACTTATAACGTATATTATATACGGGCTCGGGCAAGTCAGCCGCTTCGAGGGACTCGGGCGTCTTGAAAATGTGGTACTCGTAAATCTCGCCCGAGATTTTGGTGACGGCGTCGATAAGGGCCTGGATCCACGGATCGTACTTCACTGAGAAGATCCGGTTTTTCCACCCCCGGTTGTTCCCGGGCAGCCTTTTGATCGAGCATTTGTCCGCTCGGGATTGTATCATCAGAAATCCTCCCCCATACGCAGCCGCCAGCACCTTCACTTGGTAGACGAAGTTGAAGAGCTCCATCGTGCAGGCTACGTCGTGCCGACTGCAGATCTGGGGAAAGCACGCGATGATCCGATGCGCGTTCGGGCAAATCTGCCCGGGCATAACCTGGTAGTAGCCCAGGAATGCAGTAAGGAGGCTGGAAAAGGGGAACGTGATCGGGGCCATTAGCGAATCGTAATGCATCCCGATCCATTTCCCCTGGTGCCGCTCGATGATGTTTCCGAGCTGCCTGCTGGTGTCGAACTCGACCCGACCAGCGATAGTTGCCGCGATCCTACTTGCTTCTCCCTTCGTCAGCAAGCTCCTTTGGCCTTCGACGTTTTCACTATTGAGGAACTAAAACCCGTCCCCGCCCGGCGGCGCCGACCTGGTCGGGTCCTCTTCATCCGCTTCGGCCTCGTTGGCCCGGTCTCCGCCCTCAGGCTCGGCTCGAGGGTAATCCCCTATTACCCTCGTAGGCGTTTCCCTAACGCCTTCGTCCGGGAGGTTTCGTCCGCTCGTGGACGTTGCTTCGCTCCCCGACCCGCTGGAGCTCGACCCCGAGGTCCCTGACGAGCTTGATGACCCTGCTGGCTCGGGGGCTCGGTCGGGAGTGGGCTGTGGTCGTTGTTCGACCTCTGGGGAGTAGGACATGATGTCCACCTCCTCGCTGCTGTGCTCGATTGTGTTGTCGTAGTCTGCGATCGAGACGTTCTGGCTATCCGAATCCGACATGTTATCTACCTAAAGGTCGGTCGGGGTTAGTACAGGGGTCGTGAAGTTAGTTCGACGTTAGCTTTATCCTACTCCTACGCAGAGCTAAGAACAAAGTAAAAGCTAAGGGATCAAGAGCTTACCGATTGCTGGTACTTGAAGCGAACTTGAAGCTTGGCTTTGCTCGACTGGATCGCTGAACTGCTGCTCGGGACTCTCTGAGGGTACCGACTGCTTCAGTGGATTGAGGAAAGTTCAAATGGAGGCCTCAAGGGCCTATTTATAGGAGAGCATTTAGGCGGGAAACCAATCCACTTGCGTGACACGACCCGCACTGATTCCAAGGCCGGCAGTGGCCGACACGTGGTGAGGGAAGGAATGACAGCTGGCCGGTCGGTTTGGTGGCTGACGGTTGGGCTTTTTCATCCCGTCCCGTTTTTTCCCGGATGGTCAAAAAGGCCCGGGCTGGGGGGGCTTTTGGTAGGGAATATCCCGACCGACATAAACTCCACCACGACCGAATTGCCTTTGTCTTTGTCTTTCTGTCTTTGCAGGTAACAGGTCGGGCTTTTACGAAGAACCCGGTCGGGAAGGAACCGGGAATTGCCCGAGTGATGGTGTCGACCACCGAGCGGTAGCCCTTCGGCGGGAGAGCTGACAAAGGACACGTGGCGGCTCTTCACGACGACAGGCAGGGCACCCGGGAGGATGACACGTGGTGGCTACGTGGAAGACATGCCGAACGGCTGGAATCCTGTCCCCGGCATAGCGGCTATAAATACCCACAGTAGCTACAGTGTAGGGGACTTTTGGACGATCGATAGGTTGTTGTTAGAGAATCCCGACCGCACTCAGTCGGTACTCAGAGCAACCAAGTAGATTGTACTTAGGACCTTTACCGTGATCAATAAAGTCTTTTATTTGCTTTAAACGATCTCGGGTATTTTATATTGCTTGCGTATAATTAGCAGTATCAATTACTATAGCGAAATTTAAATATTTAAAAATTCTCTCTTTGCCTTATGTTCTTATTTCTCTATTATTGTCTTTGTCTTTGCAGTTTACTCTATTATATTTAGATTGCATCTCAGAACAAAAACAATGAAGGTCCATATTAAAATATTAGACAGGACCCCTATTTTTAATGGAACAGCCATATATATATATATATATATATATATATATATATATATATATATATATATATATAGGGATGCACGAACGAATTAGCGCGCGACACGTGTCCAGATCTAATAGCTTAAAAAAAATGCGGTGACATTTTCGTAAATAATTGAACATCGAAGTGCAAGTAAAATCACTTACAAGTGCATCTATTTTCACCTATAAGTGCATGTAATTTTGCCTTGTTAGCATTCACTTCTCGCGAACATTCATGTACCTGGGTGTGCTTATAACTATATGTGCAACTATTTATAACAATAGGTTCAACTACTTATAACTATATGTGCATATAATTTTGCCTTGTTAATATTCATTGATCTGAATTTAGCGGGTAGTAATACCCCTGAAAATCACTCGCAAACATTCATGCACCTAAATGCAACTACTTATAACTATGTGTGCAACTACTTAGAAGTATAGGTGCAACTACTTATAACTGTAGGTGCACTTAGTATTGATGCTTAGTGTAAATTTTTACTTGCACCTATAATACATTTTACATGCACTCGTAATACATTTTACTTGCACTTCGATGTTCAATTATTTACGAAAATGTCACCGCACTTTTAAAAAAAAAAAAAAACAGTGTTTCTCATCCATTAGATCTGGACATGTGCACGGACAGAATTCATTCATATTTCGCTCATGGGCGAAGCATTCGCACCTGAGTGCGATTCTATATATATATATATATATATATATATATATATATATATATATATATATATATATATATATAGGTGTCGTGGGGGAGGCCGGGCTAGAGTACAAATGAAATTTGGCTAGTAGGAACAAATTAAAGAAAATGCAATCTTCAATAAATTCCATATGTATACAGGATAGCCACCAAACTCTGCCTCAAGCCCCAGCCACAACACATGTAACTCAATTCTCTTCCCTCTTCATGCTTTTCTCATTATTCAAGAATCACAGAGATGACGTCTACCCTTCATAGCAGCTTTTTTAGGGGTCTTTACCAAGATCTACCCTTCAATTCACTACTTGTGACTGATATATAATTTGTAAATATATTTGTGGTTGTTGGTGGCAAAACAAAGTCAAAAAGTTCTTGATTATTTAGTTCTCTGGTCATTTTTTTCCTCCAATAATCTTCACTGGGGATGCCCTCTTGATTATTGTTTATTAGTTGTCTTCAATTGAGGAGATCAGAGGGTTTAATTTCCAGAAAAGATAGATCAGATCAGATTAGAGTATGGGAATGGAAATAATAGTGTCAGTGGCACTTCTGTTTGTAGGAATAGTGGTTCTTGTGTTCATACATGTTTGTATAGTAGGGAGGGCTTTAAGGAGTAGAAATGGGATAATGAATGGCACAATCTTTATCCCAAACAGAAGCCAAAGCCCCATGTCCCAAGAGGACATAAAGAAGCTGCCATGTTTTGAGTACAAACTGGAGATTATTAAAGAAGAAGAAGAAGAAGAAGAAGTGGATTGTGCTGTTTGCCTGGAGAGCTTTAAGGTTGGGGATAAGTGTAGGCTGCTGAAATGCAATCACTGTTTCCATGCTCAGTGCATTGATTCATGGCTCAAAAACACAGCTTTTTGCCCTATTTGTAGGGCAGGTGCCAAGGCTTCTCCTCTCAAAACTTCTTCTTCTGGGGATCAAGAAAACACTGCCACTTCTGGTACTTCTGGTACTTCTAGTACTCAAGTTGTTGCTGCTGAAATGACATGATAACAAAAAAAAGGTACAAATTTGTTCATTCTTTTATTTTGAGTTAATGTCATATGTGGTCCTCTCGGTATACTAATTTTGCCATATTTAGTGCTAAACTTTTAAATTGACCCCTCGTGGTCCTTCGACTTTCAAATTGTTACTACCCATGATCTTTCAACTTTCAAAATTTAACCAGGACTATGTCTGGTTAAAATTTGATAGTTGAAGGACTATGTGTGGTTAACTTGGACCAGGATTGGTAATAATTTGAAAGTCGAAAGATTACCGGTGATCAATTTAAAAGTTTAAAACTAAAAGTTGCAAAATCACTATATTCAGAATATCTCAAATGGTATTAACTCTTTTTTTATTTGTCTTTTCATTGGATTGAGTGGGTGGGGTGGGTGGGGTGGGGCCTGGGGGTGGGGGTTGGATTGATGATTGTGGGTGTGGGAGGGAGGGGAAATACAGGAAATGGATGGATGTAATTTGTAAATCTTGGGAATATATACAGTTCACTTACATATTGCTGGCGTGTAAATGTTGATAGTTTTTAATTTCATTTCTCCATCAAAATTCTTTCTGTTTTTGTTGTCTTTATGCCTATGGGCTATGGCAATGCTATGCTAGAATTCTACTTTTCTAAATCTAAATCAGATTACGAGAACTGATTAGTTTTTGTTATCAATCTGTTACTAATCCATGGTTGCAATTGTTATACGTTGTACGAGAGTCCATTTTGCATTGTGGACACTAGTCTAAAAATTATGTGTCTGTATTTAATATATTTACTTGTATTTAATCATTTATGTGCATGTAAATAAATTGAAGGTACATAACAAGCTATGTGTCTATAGTTAACATGTTACGTATTTTCAATTTATTTAAAAACACATAAATTGTTAATTTCAGGTAGGGGTGTAAATAAACGGAGTGGAAATAGAAATACAAGAGAAAATATAAGAGGAAAAAAATGGGAAATAGAATACATGAAAACTTTCTTTCCCAACTAAGAGGAAAACAAAAATTAAAGCGTAATAAAAAAAAGTATGTTTATTTGAGGAAATATTGCATCAAATATATGCTTAGATACTACCAGAAATGGGTACTGCTACATACGGATTTATTATACGTCACAGGGAGTCTTCAAATTGGCGAGAAACGGCCCTTTGCGGTGCATTTAGGATTAGTTGATGGGTTTTGCCCGTACGAATGGGTATGAAAGTAATTGTTGTTGTTTGGTTGATAGGTTTTTAGAACACTACTATGGGTTTCGAATACCTCATGAATTGAAAAACTCATATCCAAATAAAATAAGGATTGCATTCCCTTATTCAATCTCAAGCACTACTATTAGTAACCATTCCCATTCTACCCTACTGATGGAATTAATTAAACCGGGGGTCCGACTTAACTAACCCGAATAAGGATATGAATAATAAATAAGTAGTACGAACGTTATAACAAAGGCCGTGAGACCGTAGATTGTATTAAATGCCGTAGAATTGACTATTACAGAAGTATTTTAGGACAAAGTATGTAGGAAATGTAGATCGTGTCTTAACGAGACAAGGTGGGGGGGCTTTTATACAACCCCCACCCCTAACCGCCACCCCCTAAGGCGGGGGGCGGTTAGATCCGGGTTGACCGCGCCCGGTCTCGCGACCGGGCCGCATTGTGGGGCCAGGCCGAGCCCATCATGGGCTCGGGCCGAGCCCGTGTGGAGGTCGGCCCGGCCTCCAACGTGGCCCGTGCGGGGGCCACGTGGCAGGTTGAGCCGGGCGGGTACGTGGCGCCGCCCCGGGACTCGTTCTTGCTTCGCGCCTTTAGGTCAATTCGGGTCGATTCCTAATATATCCGTCATCAGTCCCCCACTCTCCGAGCTGCAAGTAATCGTCAGTGAAGGAGAGTAGATGCTCCGGCCGACCTCTCAAGATGCCGACCCCGAGACGTCCGCGTCCCAGCGTTCTAGGTGCCGTCCAAGCGCACTTCTCGCGATAATGATGAAGAACTCCATCCGGAACATGACTCCTTCATCTGCTAGGACATATACACAGTAGAGTCCTTTTGGGTTTTGATCATCTTCTCCAAGTTAACCAATCACATCCATCTTTTCACATTTTTCCCCCCTTTTTTTTGCCTTTTGAATTTCAAACTCCCCCTCTTACTATCTCCACATCTCCTATATAAACTCCTTCTCCCCTCTCATTCTACACTTTCACCACTCTAATATCCATCCCCTACTACCAAACATGTTAAATACTTTTACCAAAACTCATTACCATTACCAAGTATTTGATATCCATTCCAATTCTGATTCCTATGTGCGAACCAAACACACCCTTAGTTATACTTGATGTCGTAACGACCAACGATAGTTGCCTTAGAATTTTTATACAACACAAACACACAGACACACACATTCACATGAGAACTTGCTCCCATTAAAAAAGCTAAGAACTAATATCCAATGGCGGAGGCAAGTGTATGCCACCCCACCCCACCCCACCCCCAATTTTATTAATATTATATATAATATTAATTTTTTGTAAAAAAAAATATATTATATAGAATATTAAAATTTTATTGTTCCTTCAAAATATTTGGCCCTCCTCCCACTTAAATTAATTTTATAGGCTAAGTTATAAACTTCTTCATCTTCTCAACTACTCCAGTTCTCTCCCCACTACAAGAAAAATGCACATAGACAACGGTTATTAACCGTTGTCGTAGGGGTATAATTTCTGTTGTTGAAGCCGGTGTTGTTGTAAGTCCCGCGCATAGACAACGGTTTTTTAACCGTTGTCTTTTCTAGAAACGAAAACCGTTGTCTATTAAGTGTTGTTGAAGCCGGTGTTGTTGTAAGTCACGCACATAGACAACGGTTAATAACCGTTGTCTTTTCTAGCAACGACAACGATTTTTTAACCGTTGTCTATTTAGTGTTGTTGAAACCGGTGTTGTTAAAAGTCACGCACATAGACAACGGTTAATAACCGTTGTCTTTTCTAGAAACGACAACGATTTTTTAACCGTTGTCTATTAAGTATTGTTGAAACCGGTGTTGTTAAAAGTCACGCACATAGACAACGGTTATTAACCGTTGTCTTTTCTACCAACGACAACAGTTTTTTAACCGTTGTCTATTAAGTGTTGTTGAAACCGGTGTTGTTAAAAATCACGCACATAGACAACGGTTATTAACCGTTGTCTTTTCTACCAACGACAACGGTTTTTTAACCGTTGTCTATTAAGTATTGTTGAAACCGGTGTTGTTAAAAGTCACGCACATAGACAACGGTTATTAACCGTTGTCTTTTCTACCAACGACAACGGTTTTTTAACCGTTGTCTATTAAGCGTTGTTGAAACCAGTGTTGTTAAAAGTCAGACAACGGTTTTTAACTGTTGTCTTTTCTTTAAAAGACAACAGTTATAAACTGTTATCTATTGTGTGTTGTTGAAACCACTGTTGTTAAAAGTCACGCCCATAAACTGTTGTCTTTTGTAGAAAAGACAACAGTTTCAAACTGTTGTCTATTGTAACCGTTTTTAACCTGCTTAAATTTTAATCATATAAAAAATCAATTTATCCATTCACCATGGCCAAGTGTAGTTACATAATTTTGCACAAGCTAAGGTTCAAAATACAAAAGAACTAATTAACACAAAAGAACTAATTAACAAGTCTAAATACTTCCATGACCAATTCAAATCGAATCATATATCATCCAAGTCATAATACTACAAAAAACAATTCCACGAACCAAATCTAAATGATCACAACGTTCTAATGATCAAATCATACCTACTCCCTATTGATGCATTAAAAATGGATGCACTGCAGCAATTTAACCTGGTGGAATGAAGGTTGCCATCCCAAGTAAAGATGAAGGAGCAAGTGGAACGCCATGGAGATCACTCTGGCATTTAAAAGAAAAGATATAGTTATGCAAGCACTTTCAAGTAAAATATAAAGTCAAAGGAAGAGTTCATAAGAAGTTCTACCTGAGTTGACACATTCCCAATAAAAGTAAATGATGAAGCATTTTCGGCATTTCCATTTGGTATGTGTCCAGAGTTTCCACTAGAGGCATCATTATTACCATTCTCATTAAGTTTGTTGCCATTGTTCTGCCCATACTGAGAAGTATCTTTTGAAGATTCCTTTGAGACTTGAGAACTATCAGTCGAAGTACCATTCCTTTCTCTTGCCTCATTGGAGTTGTTGCATATGTAAATGTAGGCACTTCCTCTCGCCAAACTAGAGAAAAATCTAATTAATCACCAACTAGTATTAACTACTTAATAAAAATTTAGTTTGAAAGGGGCAAACAATGAACAGACATTGTCACAGAAGTCAATGCAATTTTGAAAAATCATTCCTTTAGAATAAACCTATCAACTCTAAGTCATTCAAAATAAAACTTTAAAAAAAAATTTAAAAAAAAATGCTAAGCAACCTGTCTCTGACAACCAAGCCAAAGCTGATTATATTGTTCAGCTCGTTTACGTAGTTTAGCTTGTTGCAAGGAATCGATCTCCTGAGCACGAGTCAACAAAGCATGGGCCTCCCTCATCTGTTCGTCTTTGTAAAGAATGGTTTCCTTTGCAATTCTGTTCTGAAGATTGAAGAATATTCAATTTGTCAGACTGCAAAACTATAGTCAGCAGCTAATGTTGCACAAGTACTTAAATATTTTAAATTATAAAAGTTTCAAATGCATTCCATAATGTAGTTTCTCCATGTTACCATACTACAAAGCAATGAAAGTATTTTCAGAAATTATGGTACATATGAATTGACCTATTCCTGCAATTCCATAAACTGATGTTATTTCTCTTGAATATGCTCCTAAAGTTCACGAAGTTGTTTAATATGCTGAGCTCTTTCAGCTTCAGAGTTGTCACTCTCTCTCCTGGAAATTTATGAACTTCAGTAACAAATATAATAAATAAAGCAAAAAATATCTCAGTTCTCTAACAATTTAAAGCTTTTAGTTGAGGTAGGGCACAAAATTCAACAGTAAGATCATATAATCACCAATCACCCCAAGAAACCATTTTAAGTTAGGTGACTGTTATCATTACTGCTACATTCAAGTGCATGACCACTGGTTCAACATTGAAAGATCCTGGCAGTAGAAATCATTTATTATTTATATATAAAATGTAGTCAACTTGATGTCCAATACAATATAAAAGGAAACTAGAGACAGGGAATATGCATAATAATAAATAAATAAAAAAACTCAACCTAGGTAATTTAGACCACAAGCAAAATAACACAAACTAGTTGAATTCAGAGTTCAGACCATTTGATAAAACCAATCATACGCGTAGGTTCTCAAAACATTACCTCTGTCATATTAAGTTAAACCTGCCTCTGGATATTTTAGAGCTTTCATACTACCTTTATATTTTTGTTAACTACAAACCTCATCTTTAAAAAAGAAGATGAAGAAGCTTATAAAAAAGTTGTGAAGGAAATCTGTCTATCAGCTAGGATAGTCCCGGTTGATAGCATTCAACTTCATTGCATTCAACCACTACAGCTTGGTGTGACCATAACAAGAAATCTAATTTCCTGAAACATGAGATGTAAAAATCATTATAACACTAAGCCAGCCTTACCAGATTTGATATAGAAGAAAAAATAATTGGGACAAAGAATAGATTATGAACAAAGAACATATGTTTTAGTACAAAGCAGAAATAATTGATACAACTATCTTCCCTTTACTGTTTCCCTATCATTTATAGAGTATTCAAATTGAGACAACTATCTTTTAAAATCCTATGTTTAAAAGAAGACAAAACAGGTTATAATATTGCTCTCCAACAAAATAACCATGCAAATCATTAACGCAAGTGTAAGGATCTAGTTAAAACAGTTTAAACATGTAGATGCAGAGCAGGGGATGAAGTTGAGTTCCAACATCTTCAGAAAATATTTGTAATAATCAAAATATAAGGTCAAGGATATTAAGTACCAGAGTACAAACTCAAGACAAGAAGCCAAAGCATACTGTTTTGCCCCAAATCTCACTCTTTCTCTCTCTCAATATTTTTAAAGGACACATCATCACACTTGATTCAAGTGTACAAGCCTAGACTGATATGTGTTAAGTTTTATCTTAACAATAACTAGATTAGTCAATTACCTTCCAGAATCCACCCCACCAAAACCTGCAAATTTTCAAAGAAATGAAGATAATTTAGGGAAATCTTCAATCATGTATTCATCTGATACCGGTTACATATATTAAATACTGTATATACTTGGTTGAGGCCATTGATCAACCTCTCCACTGACTACTTTATCAAGATTATACAGTAGGATAATATAAAGTTCATACCACATTGAGGGTATCCTTCTTTTTTGTTGAGAAACTGCAAGGTGTTTAAACACGATCGTATATCCCATTCTGGTAAAAAGTCAGAAACTGCATCCTCCGAATTGAAAGTAATAAACCCAAACCCCCGCAGCCTAAGAGTCACATACATTTGAAAAATCCAACAATTAACCTAGGGTTCAAGAACATTCACAAGTTTCAAATATGAAAAATTGAACAATAGAATTAATACTAACCTAGGGTTGAAGACTAACTTGTACCATGTTGATGGAGGAAAGAGGCGACGTTGGCAGGCCGGGGAGGGAAGACGCGACGGCTGGCAGAGGAAGGATAATACAACGAGGGTGAGACGGCAGCGGATGTGTGAGACGGAGCGACGGCGGTGAATCTAGACGGCAGCAGAGGTGTGAGGTCTGAGGCGTGAGTGTATGTCGTGTACAAGAGTAACTGCACGGTGACTCTCAAGCTCAGCAAATGCTTTCTGCAGTTGCTGTATCTTAGAGGTAGTGGAATCCATGAGCGTCACAACTGACTGGGAATCCTCCATATCAGACAAGTGCCGGACAAACTACAGATATACAGCTCAATTAATATGGAACATAACAAAGAGAAGATAACCACATTGATGCATTAAGGGGAGATCCCCAAACCCATCCATGCCTCTCCCTCTCATATTTTTGCACACTTTAATCTCTTTCAATGAAGTGCATGCACAAGTGATAATAGATACAGAATGATAAACATGCCATCAAGTACTTGACAAAGTGAAAACACTAAAAATACTTCAAAATCAGATTTAAGTTATAGAACATGCTCATCTAGCATCATAGATTTAGAGTAAATATCATTCATTAATGATGTTTTATAATTGACATATAATCTTGTTTTTACTTACCGAACCTCCTACTAGTCTCTTATGATAGTAGTCAAGGATCAAGTAAAGGTGATATGCACCAACCACAAATGTTCAAAAAAATCAATACAAAATAAATGGAAAATCTGGAAAAAAAATCAAGGCATGAGCTAGGATAAAGCAGATAAAAGGATGTACAGCTACAAGATATCCCTAAAATAACGCACAAAATCCTCACCGGGAAACTGCTACTCACCTTATATGGACACTCAGATCAGCAAATAAGCTGAAAAAACACACATATATAATCAATAAAAGTAGAAAGGCCCAGACCAAGCTAATTAACACCATAACCACCTCAAATGAGAATTTCAAAGCACAAAAATGGAAAATATCACAGAAAGTGAAGATGTTTAGGTTTGAAAAAAGGAGGCTTGATCTAGAATGAGAGCGAGATAGAAGAGCAATAGAGCAAAATGAGAGAGCGGAGAAGTAAGGCTTACGGGATCGGAGGCGGACGGCGGAGGAAGATGAGTTGACGGCGGCGAAATTCAGCGGATAATCAGACCATTTTGAGTGCGAGGGTTTGATATAACTGCGACGCTACGAATCCCTAGAGAGAGAGGCGGACGGCGGAGGAAGATGGCGGTGTCTGAGGAGAATGGCGGTCGGCGACTAGGCGGAGAGCACTGGGTTTGCAAAGAGGGAATTTCTGAGGAGAATGGCAAGGCGAAAATTTTGTTTGAAGAGAAAATTTGCAAAGAGGGAAATTTTGCCGCTAAGTGTTCTAACTAAAAATTTGTAGAGGGAAACAATTGAAAAAATTATTTTGATTTTGCAAAGAGAGAAATAACATAACATATACTATATACTATGTACTAATATAATTAGGAAAATAATGAAATTTTATTTTAATTTTATAATAAGCTTTTATTTTTTCAAAATTAAATAAGTATATTCATGGTTTTATAAGGACCGGCACCATAAACCAGGTGATATAGATATAGAACAGGGTAAGAAAATATTAGCTTTATTACTCGGGTCGCTAGACCCAAAATAGTACCAGCGGGTATATAGATACATAACGCGAGATTCATAGATTTCTATACTGTAGATTCATAAAATCTTTACTCTAGATTCATAATTTTTAAATCGTAGATTCATAATTTAAATACAGTAGATTCATAATTTAAATACAATAGACTCATAATTTAAATACAGTAGATTCATAATTTCTATACTGCAGATTCATAATTTATATATTGTTGATTCATAATTACTAAACTGTATAGTTATCAAATTATGAACATATAGTTTTGTGATTTGTGAATACAGAGTTCAACAATTGGGAATATGAACATCGAAAATTATGAACATAGAGTTCTGTAATTGTGAATATATATAGAGTTCAATCATTATGAATATGAATTTCAAAAATTATGAATATATAGTTCGGTAATTATGAACATAGAAATGGTGCACACAGTTGCACAGCATAATTTGCCCTTTATTACCCAGACAGCTGGCGACCCAATTATTACAAAGATCACGGCAAAAGAAATAGGCTATAGCTAATTGTACGATATCAACTACTCTTTCATATCCATTCTTCATGTGTCCCATGCATGCCGGAAGAGTCGATTACCAATATATAGCTAACCTTGTTAGTCATGCGCTAGCCGGAAGGGTCGATTACCAACCCCGGCCCCTATCATACCGCCCTTACCCCGATCCACACCATACCGCACCATTCGGAACACCACACCGCACCGCCAAGGCCGTTCTAGGCCATGTCGGACCGGCGCGACCGCACAGGGCCCCCAGTTTTTTTTTTTTTTAAATATTATAGACATAATCTATTATTTTTTATACTTGATAATTATTATTATTATTATTATTTGAATTCATAGATTGGTCTTAATTGTAATTGAAAATAAAACTTTAATGAATTGAAATTGAAATTTTGGTGAATAATTTTATATTTAAATAAGGGTTGGTGTGGTTTGGTGGGTTTAGCTTTGTTTATTATGTTAGAGGTCTTGGGTTCTATCTTTCTTGGTGGCATCCTTACCTTATTTTATACAATCATTGTCTTGGTTCTCAGAGACAACAGAGAAGCAAATTGGTTATATCCTAGATGTTATGCTTAAGTGTATAATTGTTGGTGTGGCTTGGTGGGTTTAGTTTAGTTTATTATGTTAGAGGTCTTAGGTTCTATTCTTCCTGTGAGCATTTTTAACTTATTTTATAAAATCGTTGTCTTGGTTTTCACAGACAACACAGAAGCAACCCAGTTATATATCAGATGTTGCACTTTTATACATAAGAGTTTGTGTTGCTTAGTTGGTTAAACCTTATTTGATATGTTTAAGGTCATAGGTTCAATTCTTGTTATTAACATCCTTATTTATATTTTATACAACTGTTGTCTTTTATAAAATAATGATGCGCAAAGACAACGGTTTTTTATAATCGTTGTCTTTGTAGTGTTGTGTATTCAAATACGCTTAAAGACAACATACCAAAGACAACGGTTAAATAAAACCGTTGTCTTAAACAAATAAAGAACGCGCAATGACAACGGTTATATAAAACCATTGTCGTTGTAGTGTTGTGTATTCGAGTGCGCTTAAAGACAACACACCAACGACAACGGTTAAATAAAACCGTTGTCTTTTTAAAAAAAAACAGCGCACAAAGACAACGGTTTTAAACAACCGTTGTCTTTCTAGTGTTGTGTATTCCAGTGCGCTTAAAGACAACACACCAACGACAACGGTTAAAAAAACTGTTGTCTTTTTTAAAAAAAAAAAACGCACATAGACAACGGTTTTAAAAAAAACCGTTGTCGTTGTGGTGTTGTCTTTTCACAAAATGCACAAAGACAACACACTTACAACAACGGTTAAGTAAAAACCGTTGTCTTTGATAAAAGTGTTGCATTAAAGACAACGGTTTTGGACCAAACTGTTGTCTTTTATACAAAAGACAACACTTTTCTTAAAAACTGTTGTCTTTCTAGTGTTGTCTATGTGCATTTTTCTTGTAGTGCCCATTACAAATTATATATTCCCTATATTATTGACTCACATTCAAACTAAACCTCATTTAACCTACCTATTAGTTTCTCTCTCTAGAACCATACATATATGCAGCATATACGTTATAACAAGATAATTTGTTATTATTAAAATCTATGCATATTTTTTAAGTTTATTTTTGTTTTTTTTTTTTGTTTTTGTTTTTGTTTTGTTTTTGTTTTTGTTTTTTTTTTTTTCTAACTACTTGTTTGGTTAATTTTTGTTTCATATTTTATTGTTTATTCTAAACTTTATTAAATTTGTAAGGTATGTAATGATTATTTTGAAATATGTTAACGGGATATCAATGTATTTGATTTAGTACTTCAAGTCTTCAACTGTAGTTGGACCCCGCACTAATCAATCCTGGCTCCGCCCCTGCTAATATCATATGTTCGTCAGGAAAAATATAAAAAAGCAATTTGATTTTAAAATGTGGTGACATTTTTGATAATTTTTTCCAACTTTTAAAGTACATTTCGCAATACTATATAGTGCAATTTTTAACAATATAGAATGCATTCCCTATTAAACTCTAAAAAAAAAAAAAAAAAAAAAAAAAAAAAAAAAAAAAAAAAAAAACTAAATCTTAAAAATACAAAAATGTTGGTACACCAACAGCTTCATTGCGGAACTTTGGAGATTTCAGGAAGGTTTACGTATTGCTAGAAACAGGGGCTTAAACAAAATTGTGGCCGAAACCGACTCAGAAGCTATGGTTCAAGTCCTGGACAAAGATACGGGTTCAAACACGGAAGTGAAAACTTTAATCACTGATTGAAAGTTCCGTATGAAGCATTTCCAAGAGTTCGTGATTAAGCACGTGTTTCGTGATGGCAACTAGTGTGCCGATTTTCTCGCAAACTTGGGGCAAGGCAGTCCTTGAGGCACGTCTATCCTGGACCATCCTCCTGATGATATGAGAGAGCTTCTTGATCGGGATACTGGGAACGTCAGCACAAGAAGATTTTACTAATTCTTAGAGTTTCAACCCTCTCTTTCACCAAAAAATAAATAAATAAATAAATAAAATCTAAACATAAATCCTAAACATTAAACAAAATAAATAAATAAATAAATAAAATCTAAACATAAATCCTAAACATTAAACAGTAAAAAAGTGAACATCTAAACTAAACTAAAAAGTGAAACACTAAACCAAACCAAAAACTAAATCATAAAATTTAAAAGGTGAACTCTAACTGCAATGTACATTCAAACTAGCCAAAATACACAGTATAGTATTGCAAATTATACATTTAAAATTGGAGAGAATTATCAAATGTCACAACATTTTTTTTTTCCTTCTTATTAAAATAGGAAAGAATAATTATCAAATATGAACTAGGTTTCTTGTGATAAGTGTGGACTAATTTGATCCATCCATGTAGAATGATCAATGACTAAAAATGACAGGGTCAATTTTATAAATATTAGCTAGTATAACGAAATCAACTTAACTAGATTTCTCGTGATAAGTGTGAACTAATTTTATCCATCCATCTAGGATGCAACTAATTAGTATAAGGGAATCAACTTAGGGATTCCATGCATCTATTTTTTTAATGTAAAAAAACTAATTAGACCAAATTTGTTCTTTTAATTTGCAAACTAGCACCTATAGTAAAACAATTGCACATGAGACACTACCAAAGAAGTGGACAAGCAATGAAGACGAAGATAATGACAAACCTATCCAAAAGCGAATTAACAAAACTTAAAGTAATTTCTAGGTGTGGACGTTTCGGGTTTCGGTTCGATTTTTTTCGGTTTCGGTTTCGATTTTAAAAAATTTAAACCATTCGGTTTAACATTAGAGTTCGGTTTCGGTTCAGTATTCGGTTCAGTTTAAGATCCCAAAATTTCAACATTTCCTAATTTTTCGAAAATACTACCAAACAATACATATTCACATAATCCAAATCCAAACTCTAAAAATTATATAACAAAATAGCAATCCAATGATCAAACACAATACTAAGTACTAATTACCAAGCATCAGTTAACTTTTTTACACAACTGACTCTTCAGTTGGTTCACTTGGAATATTTTTATTGACAAAATGAATAATCATCTATTTGTATAGTTGATATTAGAAGAACAAGTGTCAAGTACTATATAGTTAATTTTTGGACACAATCTATCATTGCTAGTGCACTCGAAATATATTTCAGTACTAGAAAATAATTCTAGTGCACTGGAAATCAAAATTAGAATGACTGTAAAGCACATTAAATTTATAGAAACATGAAACTAAGAAAAATACTGAATATTGTAAATATAACTCAAGTTAGATATAATTGTGAGGTAAAGAACAATTGCGACAAACAACAAAAGTGCAATGTAGAGAGCTTTATAAAGAAATCAAATAAAAAATTGAAGGGAGATACCAATGAGAATAATGACTGAACGGCGGAGCAGGCATCAAGAGACTTGGATTTACTTCTTTTTATTATTATTATTATTATTATTATTATTATTTATTAAAAAAATCATATGGTATTCGGTTCGATTCGATTTTTGCCAAACAGTTCGGTTTCGTTCAGTTTGGTACCGAACCGTTTGGTTTACAAGAATTCCGAACTATTCAATTTTCTATTACTAGTTCGGTTCGATTCGGATTATCCGAACCGAATTGCCCACCTCTAATAATTTCAAACCAAAAGTAGTATCTACTACCTAATAACATACCAACTATAATAAGTATTTAGATAATTTCTTTTTAGAAAAGTACAGATTAAACATTAATTATAATAAACTTGTCCTATATAATCACTTTGAATTACTTATTTAAATACAAACATTGACCATTAAATCAGTCTCGCAATGCGCGTATAACATCTACGATCTTAAAACTGAAAGACACAATAATGTGCTCTGGGAAACTGAACAATATAATGTGCTCTGGAAGGCTCAACAATATGCACTCTAAGGCAAAACAATATGCACTTCGAAGGTACAACATTGTGCTCTACAAGAGGAAAAAATGCACCGAAAGACAAAAAAGTTAATTTATTTTTGCAAAGCAATGTACACTGGAGGACATATCAATGTCTTCTAGAAGGTGTTATGTGCTCTGTAAAAAAGGGAAAAAATGCTTTCAAATACGAAAAAAAAAATTAACTTACATAAAATTATCTTTTTATTACAAGAAAGGGGGACACCCATACAAACTACGCCTACAACGAGACTCGAAACCTAGACCTCCTACATAGGAGAGCAATCCGATACCATTGGACCATAAACCACTTGGTCCTTTTTTTTTTTTAAATTGCTTCACTCTCACCCTTGATCTGGACTGAACAATGGATGAGATTAAACCTTTTTTCGCCCAAGACATATCGCGGTTTCTCGCCATCACCACCTTTGGATGGTACATTGGTGTGCTTTGTGAGTTGTACATAGCTACATAATAATATTTCACTCATCTCTTCTGCTCTACTAGTCTACTACTCTCTGAATTTCTTCTCTCTCTTCTCCTCTCTATTTCTCCTTCATTTCTTTCAGTCAATTAAATTCAGTAACTATCCTCCATTGTTACACCATTAAGAGCTCCCCAGTCAGAGAAGACAAAGGTATGTGAAATCTGCACCTTCTATCATTTCTTTTGGAGCTCTGCTCTGCATACATTTACTCTATATATGATGATCTCTTTGAACCCTGAAAGATAGATATCCTTTATATCTAACGCCCAAAAGGCCTCAAAGCCCTACTTTTTATGTGAAAAGGAGACTCAGATTAAGTAGATGATCCAACATGAACCTCTTTTAAAATTAATTCTTGGAATTCTACATTTTCTTCTCTGTATCTATTGTCCTTTACCTAAAAATGGAAATAATGAAGTAAGCAATTAATAACAGCTGTAAATTATTAGAAATAAAAACTTTAGCTCTAAACCTAATCTCCCACATTTGATTCCTCAAGCAAGTCAAAGAAATGGAGATCAGAAAAACATTTGAAATTGTTGTTTTCTTGTGAATCAGACTCCAGAAAGCAGAGGTTTGGAGGCTGCAATGGATGGATCAAACAAGAAAACTAAAGGGTTTTTCAAGTTATTCACCCCTGAAACCTCTTCACAGAAAATGGTACAGCCCTACAGGGTGTTTTCCTCTACATTACACTGTGTTTCGTGAATGTACATGTTTGTTTAGTGAATGAGTAATACCATTTTTGCTCCCACAACTATTAGTTTAGTGACAGTTTTGGTGCACGTGTTTAATGACCGACAATGTAGACTATCATTTAAATGCCAATTTTGATACCTCCGGTTACCCTCCAACTCAAAAATTCCAAAATTTCAATATTTTAAGGTTATTTTCGTCCATTCAAACCAAAGAAATTGAGGAAAAGGTCTACTGATGAGATAACCAAAGGGCCTAACATACTTGGATGGACGAAAATAACCTTAAAATTTTGGGATTCCGGAATGTTTAGTTGGAGGGGAGACTGGAGTGTTCATCCGATGGACATTTGTTAGTCACTAAACTTGTGGATCAAAACTGTCACTACGCTAATAGTCATGGGACTAAAATTGGTATTTACTCTTTAGTGAATGGTTTTAGAATATCTTCTTTATAATCTTCAGTTCAGTCACTTCTCACACTATAGCTTGTTGCAGGAAATGCCCCCAGCAGTTTCAGCTTACATGGGAGATAAACTGCCAAGGACAGTATTTCTGAGAGACAGGTACAAGAACATGTGGGAAGTGAAAGTAGGAAGAAGTGGAAATCACTTGGTTTTTGAAGAAGGTTGGGATAAGTTTATCAAGGACAATTGTGTGGAACTCGGGGATTTCTTGGTTTTTGACTACCTTGATACTAAGTCTCTGTTTGACTTCAAATTGTTGGGGCTTTCCTGCTGTTGTGAGAAGATAGGTGTTGGGCGTCCGAACTTTCTGGTGAAGGAGGAAGTGGAATGGGAACATAGTGACAGTTTAGAGGAAGATGAAGAAGAAGAAGAAGAAGGGGACCCGAGCTATCACACTACTATCAATGAGAATAACATGTCAGAAGATGATGAATATGAATTTGCGGAGGTGGAGGTGGAAGAAGAAGAAGAAGATGGTGATGGTGATGGTAATATTCTAATCTAAGAGCTTAATACCACACACTGACACAGTAAACTAGTAGAACATGAGCTACTTCATGTGGTTGTTATCTATGCTATTGCATTTCTTGCCTGGCCCACAAAAGGCGAAATTCCCTCGCCCCCAAGGCCGCTACACCTGGCCCGAAAGGACAGTGGAGGGGTAAATCACGGTGTCTCAGCCTCCCATTAAGTGGGAGCACCAGTGCATGGTGCCCACAAGGAGCCACCACACATTGGGTGTAACTCCTGCACTGCAGTTGTCAGGGCTCGACCCCATGTCCTTAACAAGAATCTACCACTCAGAAACCAACTGAGTTATCCATGCGGGCTGCTATTTCTTGCATTTCTATTAGCAATTTGCAGATAAGGGATGTAGCCCGTGTTGAGTCTTGCTGCTTCTTTTTGTTTTCAAATATTTTTAGGGGAAAGTAGAATAGAAGCTGCTCCTAGAAGAAACCACCATAAACGAAAGGCGTTTGACTACACTGGGGCTAGTATTTTCGAATCAGGGCTCTATCCACAACCCATAAATCCTTACTTTGTGGCAAAAAACAGAAAAGGGAGGAAAAATGAGCTGGTCAGTTCTTTACTTCCACTCCATATCAGAGAGAGATATTCTACTTGTTATCGTCTCTCTTTATTATTTGCAAATTAAACGCTAAAACCCCATTGTTTGTGATGAACTATTCTTAGCACATTCCTGAATATGTAATACGCCATTTCAACCTCAAGCTGCCATCAACAATGATCCTTCGTGACCCCAAGGGGAAAGATTGGGAAGCAAAGGTCAATCCATGGAAAGATGGGCGGGTAGTGTTAACAGGAGGGTGGAACGCGCTGTGTAAATGGAACCTAATTCGGGAAGAAGACAGTTGCATTTGCGAATTTGTGACCGAAGAAAGAGGAATGGGAAGAAAGGAGCTTCTGCTGCAGATACAAGTTGTTCGTGGATCTCATCAGGCATAATATGTGGTAAGACTTTAATTTGGACTTTTAAATGCATGGAACTATCATGGAGAGAACTGGAGATGATCAAGAATTACATATGTGGTTTGTTGTTACTTAGGAACTCTGAATGCAGTATTTTAGATCTCAGAACTTTGATAGCATCCAGTGGCGGACCCACAATGGGACAGTTCCATTTATATATATTGTATGTATAACTGTATAAGTTTATAAATATTAAATTTACACAAATATAATCAAAGAATGAGTTAGGTTAGATGGTATGGTATTTAGTTTTTTCCTAAATGTTATAGGTTCAGATCCTACAAACTTGAATTTATATTGAGATTATTAATTTGAATTGAATTTTTTATTTGTAATATTGTGTTTTTTTTTTTAAATCTCATTTTTTAATATTAATAGTGATATTGGTGATTTATAATATGTTTTCATTCGAGTTATTTTATCTAATTAATTATATTTCATAATTTGTCAAATTTTTATTGCATTGTCTTTTTTTTTTTTTTGGATTTTTTAAAATATTAACAGTGATATGAGTGTTTTATAATATGTTTTCTATTCAAATTATTTTATCTAATTAATTATATTTCATATTTTGTTTTGAATTTTTTTATCGCATTTTGATATATTTTAATTTTTTCATCCTAATTAACAATATTTATGACTCGGTCTTTAAGTATTTTTTTTTTCTCAAAATATCTCATTAGTTTTTAGTCTTTTGCCTCCACTGGCGAAGATTTTTGGATCCGTCCCCGGGTAGCATCATAGAACACATTACATTTTGACGGTGCTTTGAAAGACTACATATATCTCGTATGAGTCAAGCCAAGAAGAACCACATTATGTTATAGATGTTTGAAAAATTAGGCTGATAGTGTGAAAATAAATAAATGTTGTGCCATGGAATAACTACTTCTATAAAAGCAAATTCGCTGCTACCATTGCACGCACACAATAACAACGTTATCCACAGAGTTTAACACATAGTTCCTGTCTCCATGCACCTAGAGCATACACAACATTCTCAAAGAGTAGAAAAGATGAGAATAGAGATATCAAAACAATGTTTTTCTCAGCCCCACTTGCTTTAGGCTTTTAGCCATTCCATTGTCCCCCAATCTCCTATGCAACCATGCATCCTTGCATTCAGGTGCAGCACAACCCATAGTGGTTCAAAAATCCCTTAATAATTTGCCCATTTGCTCATTTGCCTCCTCCATGCCCTCCCATTCTGTTATTTCATACAGGACGAGACAAATTCAGAATTTTTAGTGTTGCCCACAAAATAAAATAAATGTCATATCAGCAATAATTAAAGGGTGAAATAAGCCATTGAACTTTATGTGAAAAAAAAAAAAAGTATTAGACTTCAAATACCAATCATTATTTTATGGATCATGACCTACATAGCTGTGTGGATCAGGAATAAAAAAAATACATTTTCAATATATTAAATATATATTATTTGTGTACTGAATATATTTTATTTCATAGTATATACAAAATAATGTATTTCCAGTACTCAAATAATGTACCTTTAATATATTAAAAATGTATTTTTTTATTCATGGTTCATACAACTGTGTGGACCGTGATCCGCATAAAAATTTGCCATCAAATACTCTAACTTGTCATTTTGGTGCATCTGGGCCCAAAGCCCAATAATCCATTACCCACTGAAAATAATTGGTCATTAGGGTTCTGGAGAATGGTTATTGGTCGCCAATGTCAAGAAGCAATAGTTATGCTGTGCAACCGAATGCACCATGCGCATGGTGCATACGATGCAAAACGACGTCGTTTTGACTAAAAACGCGCGTCCCACTTAAAAAAAAAAAAATTCAGGTTCGATTCTCGGCAATAGTATTATTGTGGATATATAGTTATGAATTTCTGGATATATAGTTATGAATTTATGGATATTTAGTTCATTCATTGTGGATATTTAGTTCATTCATTGTAGATATTTAGTTCATTCATTCACTGTGGATATATAGTTATGAATTTATGGATATATAGTTATGAATTTCTTGATATATAATTATGAATTTCTGGATATATAGTTATGAATTTCTGGATATTTAGTTCATTCATTGTGGATATTTAGTTCAATCATTGTGGATATTTAGTCCATTCATTGTGGATTTTTACTTCATTCATTCACTGTGGATATATAGTTGTAGATTTTTACTTCATTCATTCATTGTGGATATATAGTTATGAATTTGTAGATATATAGTTATGAATTTATGGATATATAAAAATGCTATTGCCGGGAATCGAACTTGATTTCTTCTTTAAGTGGGACGCACGTTTTTTTTAACTAAAACGACGTTGTTTTGGATCAAATGCACCATGCGCATGGTGCATTCGGTTGCACAGCATAATTTGCGGTCAAGAAGGCAACCATGGTGACCATTGGTCACTTTCTTCATCGATCCTTGGTGGCCTTTTATGGTGAACGGTGGCGACCTTTTTATTAATGATGGCGGTCAACGGGAACTTATAATCCACGATCATCGTGATTTTACCGTTACATGTTGCTTATTGATAAACATGGCTTATTTCACTGATTTTAATGTGTTGGAGTGTTTAATTACAACTTTTAAAGTTTAGGAACCTAATTGCTTTTCGTTAATTACAACTTTTAAAGTTTAAGAACCTAATTGCTTTTTCGTAAAAAAGTTCAGGTGTTTATAAGTTTATAAACATGTGATTTTATGAACCAGCTCTACTACATGGATTTCCAATCTCTACTCTCTCACTTTTTCTCCTTGATGTGACAAGAGAAGATAAGTTATCTTTATCATGTGGGTCCCAAATTAAATGTCAACTTAGGAGTCCAAATAGTATTTTCATTGAGTTAAAACCCAATTTGGTCCCTCAACTATTAAGATTTCACCACTTTAATCCTCGACTTTCAAAATTGTCTGATTGCATCCTTGACTATGCAAATGTTAACCAAAACAATCCTCAGTCTATTTTCCAGTCTATTTTCAAGGGTAAATATAGGAAAATCAAATCAACACTCATCTTCTTCCCTAATAATATACTCTGTACTTAATAACTTAAGATTGTGAAGTCTAGTGATTTTATAGAAATCAAGAGTTATTGATGCCAACAATAAACCAGAAAAAATACTCTGCATGGGGAAAATTAGCATATCTATAAAGATATAATTCAAGAAAAAATAGACAAAATCAAGAGGATGAGAAGACTGATTTTCTTCTTGAGAATGCACTGGAACTAGACTTTGACCTGAGAAATAAGAATTAGAAACCAGAGGCATCCCCGTCATAACTGGGACACAACCGCTGCTACAGTAGAAATAACAGCCGTTGTCGGCTGAGTGACTATAGACGCCACCGCCGCCGTTAGGGTTCTGGGCATGGCGAGGGATTGCGACAAAGAACAGGGACCATCCTCTCTATCAATTCGATGATTGAGCCCTAGGTTCGCCGGAGCTAGAGCCAGGCCCGGCCCTGGGCAAGGGCAGGCGGGGCCCTTGCCCAGGCCCACGCTTGGAAGGGGCCCCCACCCCAGCTCACTATGTTATATTTATACTATAAAGTTATTGCATAAGTATTTTTTTTTGAAAGGAGCCTGTACGGCATTTATTCGAAATATGCAGAAATAGCAGCTGGTGGACTAGAGTCCGAATACATAACAGTTGTCTGAGTAAAGGCAAAAGATGCTAAAGTATGAGCTAAATAATTCTCTAATCTAGGAACATAACGAATTAAACAATTGTCAAAAGTCAACAGACTAGTCCTGCAGCTATCAATGGTGTAGCCCAAATAAGACCGCGATGATCGAGTCGAAGATGATAGATATTGTTGTAGTACTAAACAATCCGTGAAGAGATGGATAGAGTTTATACCGCGATCCCTCAACCATGACAAAACTTCTTTGCACGCTAGAGCCTCTGCCATTAGTGGTGTAAAACAATCTGACATAGGGGTGGTCATTGCGGAAATATATCCTCCTTGCGTATCTAGAATAATAGCATCGGCCGCCGCCTTGTTCGTTTGTGGGTTGTATGCCGCGTCGAAGTAGCACATGAGAGGCTCCACGTCTGAGGCGATTGGTTGTTCTTCTGGCCGCATCACAGCACTGCTTTGTGGCAGTCCGTGCACTGCCGGCACAGCAGTGGCGTTCACTGTCGTTGGCGGCATTATGGTCGGCATTCCACCCTGCTCCGCTACGGCCATATTGGTCTGTGGTTGTGCATGTGGGGGGTGCGCAACCTTCCAAGATTGTACAGTTGAAGACGTCATTGCTAATATTTTCTGAGGCCTGGGTAAACATGCGTCCCAAACAGCCCCATTCCTCGCACGCCAAGTGTAGTATAGAATGGCCACTGCATAAATAATCTCATTATCATCTAAAATATTCATCAAATCATTAAACCAATCACTGAAAACATTTGTGACACTATTGGGAATTAGAAGGTGAGATTGTGCCCAAATGTTTGTTGTATAGCCACATGTGATCAAAGAATGCACAATATCCTCATGTGCAGTTCCACACATAGCACATGTTGGATCAATATCCACTCTCCTTATAAGTAGATTGTTTGTGGTGGGTAAAATATTATTCAGAGCTTTCCATATAAATGTCTTCCACTTTGGGGGAATCTTGAGTTTCCATAAAACCTTCCATTTATCAAAGGTCCCTAGTGGTTGGGAGTAATCACCGACTAGTTTCCTATACCCATCCTTGACTGAATATTCACCATTTGGATCCCCATACCAGTACCACAAATCATCATAATCAGGTGACACAGGTATTTTTTTAATTCTTTCTACATCCTCCGATATGAAAATATCCGTGAGAATATCCGGATCCCAGGTTCCTGTTTGTTGATCCATTAGACCCATCACCTTTGCCTGTGCCAATTGGGGTGGTCTTTCCGTTTCTATTCTCGGTTGGTTTTCATCATGTAACCATGGGTGGTCCCAAATTAAAGTTGTTCTACCATTCCCAATTCTTCTCCGGACACCCCCACAAATTAACTCCTGAGCTGCTAAAATACTTCGCCAACAAAAACTTGGGTTATTACCCAAGCATGCATCATAGAAAGAATTATTGGGATAGTACCTGGCCTTATACACTCTCGAAACCAGCGATTGTGGTTGTGTCAGAAAACGCCACCCTTGCTTCCCCAACATAGCAAGATTAAAGGCATGCAAGTCTTTAAACCCCAAACCTCCATACTTCTTTGGAATACATAATTTATCCCATGCCTTCC